ATCAGGCAGTGTGGCTGTGTAACACAAGCAGTGTTTCCTTTACATAGGCGTGTTGAGGAATGTGAACAACCTCTGTACATATATGTACTCTGTGGATTTCTAATATAATTGGTGGATTCAAAGTAGTTACAGGAATATTACACTTTCTTGCTGAGTGTTAGACGAAAACACCACTTTCATTTCTGTATGGTAAATATGAAGCTACCACCTGTTAGCTTAACCCAGCTAGTCTGACTCTGTCCAAAGGTAGCCTAACAAAATCCATCTACCAGCATCTCTAGGCTCACTAATTAACAAGTTATATCTGGTCTGTTGTCATTGCCATGAGGTTGTCGGACAACCAGAGACTACAGGATGTCATTGCTCCTGGTCAAGAAACAACCACACTTTTTTGTACAAATTAAATAATCTTTGGACACAGCCAGGCTTCCAGTCTTTATGCTTATTGTATTTCCCAAAACAAATGTGTGCTTGTGTGTGGGCGCAAAATTTGCTCTCAACCCTACTCTCTGCTACCGTATGTGCCTTTTCTGACTGACTGTAAGTTATAATGACATGACTATGCATGGTGGGACACATGTCCAAAGAGATGCCACTCTCCTCACAACCGTTCGCTAACTCTAAAATACAATTTTATCATGTGAAGCTGGCTGTCGAGCTTAACACCCGCCTCAATGGTGAAATGCCGCATGTTGATGTTTGGGTCCCATTGTGTGAATTCAGCTCCTATCTCAGCAGGAAGCCACCCTGTGATGGCCATGTCTTTTGTGCAGCTATGTGATTTTCTACATATCTGTTGCCTGTAGAAATGGCATGCAGACAATGATGATGGGGTTTTTCTCATTGTAAGGTGTTTATCTGTTCCAGTGTTCTGCAGAGAACTAATCACAATACAATCTGCCAGACAGACTGAAAATTGGATTCTGCTTTATCTGTTTCGAGCTTTTGGCAACTCCAACAGTTTCCATCTCTGATGATCACACTACAGCCCACATTGTGCAACGGATAAAAATGGCTGATTACTGCGATGAGGCACCCTGTCACTCTAATTTACACAAATCGTACACTCCCACTCTGACTTCTGCTCAACTGTATTAACGCCGGAGCAAATGTTTCTGGCAGTCAAACCCAGAAAGCCTAATTTAATCTACATGCACACTTCCACACAAATAATCCCACATCATGAAATTCATTCCTACCAACAATATGCACATTTGGTATTTATTGTTCCTCTGAGCATGTGATTATGCAGTTTTGGATGTGTGTTGTCTCAGCGGCATCACAGCAGTGAGGAGAACTCTTTATTATTATTCTTTATTATTTCAGCGATGCATTTCAGCTGATGTCTGATTGGCTGCATGATGAGACGCTACAGGAGGGATCGACTTGTTGGAGGTTTGGTAGTGGCAGAGTGAAAGTTCAGGTTTGGAGTTCACATTAAAACGCCTGTCCTGTGCGGCTGTGGAGCTAATGATGACAGGTGGGCGAGACAAACAGCCGCTATGGGTCACTGCGCTGTTATCCACAGAGGCCTGATTGCACAGCATCCTTTCAGCAGACTGATTGTCTGTTGAACTGCATGTGCTTTCATGTGTTCTGGTGATGTATTTAGTGAATACCAGTGAAGGTATGTTTTAGGTGCATTAATCAGCATGCAGTTATCTGGAGTGGAGGTTCAGGACTGAACCAACGTGGATGGTTCCTCACAAGGATGATGTTCACTTTGACCATCGTAGTGGAATAAACTGGCACAGCGCTGTGTTTGATGGAAATCAACATCATGCTCGTGGCTGTTTTGGTTGATCAGACCTCTGCTCAGGTTGAAAGTGAGCAAAACTATGCTGGGATGTGACGTCGTTTAACTAGTGACAAAGGTGGAATTTGTTCTACTGTTACAAGTGCAACAAAGCTTTCAACATTTTAGAAAGAGGCTGCTTGTTTTATAATGCATCTTCGTCAGTCTTCAATTTTCCTTTACACCACATACCCCTGACCTCTCAATAAACTATTATTATGGTTGTCTATTCTCTCCATATCATGTCATTGTCAGGTGTAGTTAATTTGCCAGGTGAGTCATCTCTTTGGCTCGCGTGCTGTTGGTTGATCAGATATCAGAATGAGGCACGGAGAGATTCAACCGTGACTACATGCCAGAGGTTACTCAGTGCATGCAAACATCAGCAAAGGGCTCATCAGGCAGCTGCTGTCCTGCCACACACACACACACACACACACACACACACACACACATCCTTGTGTCACTCCGTGTGGACCAGTCATTGACATAATGTATTCCCTAACCATTAACCCTGACCTTAACCTAATTCTACCCCTAACCCTAGAACCAAGATCATATCCTCAAACAGCCCTTTAAACTTGTGGTGTCCAACATTTTAGTCCCTGCACGAATATTTGAGAGATTTCTTTTGTGAGATATGGTTTCTCACTCTGTTCAATGTGTTAGTATATGGGACTTTATATCATCAGTGTCTTGCTTGTTAATCGGCAACTGAATTTTTCTCAGAGAACAGCAAGAGCTTACATTTAGGCACAGAAGGCAGTCTGCATTTGTGTTATTTAGCAGACACTAATGTTAAATAAGATATGCCTCTGCCTTATCTTATCGTCTTATCATATAAACATCACAAAGCAAAGCACAGCGCCCCTAAGAATGAAACAAACAAATTACATGCATAAAAACAGAACCGTTGGCACTTTTTTTCTTACTCCTGCTTCTCAAAAGGGTAAAATTGGTGTTTCTTTCTTAGGATTAATGTCTTTGAGAAAAGGAAAAGGGAGCTCAACCTCGGAGGCTGTATCACAGCCTGACAAAACAGCTTTAGTTTTAAGAGACTCTATAAACACAAGGCTTTCTGTAGTCATTGCAAAATGGATGCCAGAATAGATAGCAATGACCTTAATATTCACACAGAGAAGGTCAATTTATTTTTTATTTAAAACTTGGACTATTGGAGCTTTTAAATGGTACTTAATGGAAGGTGTAGAGAGAGTGAACGGGTAGGTGGTGTTGGTTTTCATTGATTCACGCAGGACAGATGTGGTGAAGCAGCAGCAGACACTGGAGGTAATAATCATCCATAACAAAAACCATTAACTCACGGTTTCAACCAGCAGTCATTAGTTTATCGCCCTCTTTTTTAAATGACAATATATTTCAGTCAGAGTTCATTCAGTTTAATTTGTCAGCAGAACAAGTGTAACTCCACTCTCTCCACTCTGACCATATCTTATCATTTTATTGTTTTTTAAATAATCGGGTTCTTTTTATGCATAAACTCATGCAGGATTTGTAGTGCTTGATCCTGCATAATGCTGCATAACACCAGAGATGGTACATTGTTGTTGCATTTCATTAAATTAAATCAAAGTGAACTGAAAAGCCTCTTAAACACCTGGCTGCCTGCAACATTTCCTCATCCTGCTTTCCCTTTCCATATTAATTATCAACATGCCACTTTTAACAAATCTAAAGTTCACATGAAATATGTAATACAGCATTAACAGGATTGCATAAATATCTCTATAATATCTATCTATAATCCACAAAATGCTGGCATGCTAACACCTTCCCGTTTATTGCCTGTTTGAAATTCATATTGTGCGAGTGTACATGTACGTGTGTGTGTTTGTGCAGCACATCTGTAGGTGCTTTAGTGTGCGTGTTCATATCCACCTGACACTTCCATTTGAAAGGTGATCAGATGTCTATTAACATCTTGTCCCTTATCATCCATCATCGTCATTCTCATATCCCACACAGCTCTTCATTATTCATCCCATCACTTTACGTCCAGCACTTCCAACACAGACGAGTCTGCAAACAAATCCTATAAAATCTGTAATTATTATTCATACAGTTTAGGCTTTATGATGGGAGTTCCTATAAATATCTTCCCCCGCTGTCTATTCTCCCACCCTCGCTTTCTGTCTTTGCCACATACATATTCTGTACATACTTATCCTACACACACACACACACACACACACACACACACACACACACACACACAATCTGCCCTCTACAACTCTGTCTCTGTTTTGGTTTTCTTCCGTTTCTCTGTGATCAGCGACACACAGATCTGCAGGGAGGAGATAAAGTGTCTTCTTCTTCTTCTTCTTCTTCTGCGTACTCTCCATCTGAACCCCCTCCCCCCACCACAGCACCCATCCTTCACAGCAGCTTGTGGGGACCATACCGGAGAGGGAGATGCACCACATGTAGTAGGGGAAGATGAGAAAAACATAGGAGGAGTGTATGGGCTTATCCTGCAGAATGAACAAAGGCGTGCTGGTGATTTAGTAGCCATGCTGCTGCTTGGATTCACACCAAGTATGGGTTCGATTGGCCAAGGAGACTGAGCACTCCTCCGACCTCCGCAGGCCAGGAGGAATGATGGAGGGTGTAAAAGGTTAAGTGAGGGAGGGAATGAAAGTAAAAGCTGTGAATGGAGGGAGGGTCTTGTGTAATAGGTAGGCTATAATCAAAAACTAAGCACACAGTAAGGGAGGAGTGATTTCGAAGACAATGTGGCCCTTACGGAGCATGAGATGCACATTACTGCACATATTTATTGTCTTGAGTTCTTCCTCCTGAGGTGGGATATTTAATTTATTCATGCTTTATTTGATTATTCACAATCCATACAGCTTTAGTATGGAAAGAGATGGGGGGTGACATAGATCATATAAGATCCTACAAAATGCAGTGGAGCCAGTAGGGTCCTGCTGAAGGATCAATTGTTTGATGTAATTCTCTCCTCCAGGGAACAGCAGGACTGGATGATGTATAATGAGTCTGCTATCAAACAAGCAGCCTGGACAGCAGTTAATGGTAAGTCATAAGCAAAACCCAGGAGAGCCTTCCTCCTCCTCCTCCTCCTTCTGTAATTGGTCTCCTGCATGCCTCTGTTCGCCCCGAAGGCGCCCCCATGTGGCGGGCAGGAGAAGTGCGCGCTCCGCGGGGGGCTTAAAAGCCCCAACTGAGGTGGAGCTACCCACAGTACCAAGGAGCTCTACACCGGGAAAAGTTTACCTCTACATATCACACTCGACTAACAGGAGGAAAAACCGCAGAGATGGCAACTCAAGCACAGCAGCCGCCCCACCTGCAACTGGCTGAGATCACCGCCTCGCAGTTCATCGACATCTGGAAACATTTTGACGCAGACGGTCAGTGCGCTCATCTGTCATCCAGGCTGATAAGTGTGGAAATAATGAGTGATCAATTACTTAAGAAGCTAAAAAAAATCATACTAAGAAGTGTGTGATATTAGAAATTCATGTTTTTATTTACTATATTACAACAGTTTCGTTTTCCTGTGAGAGTTTAAAAAAAAAGTCAAGTGAAGTGCTTGTTTCAAAATCATTAAAATATTACAGTATTATCACCAGCTACTGTAAGAAAATTATATTTGCGCTTCAGCTAATTTTAATCGAATACGACCTGTGAAGGCAATATTTTTCATAAGTGTCTTTTTTCCCCGTGTGTCTGTAGTAAACCCGTCAGTATCGAGTGTTTAATGCTCTTATCTACATCCTGTAGGCTAATATAAATTACTGAGGTTTACTATTGCTATTTACTGTGATAAAAATTTGTGAGCGGATCTAAAGTGTTTTTTAAAACTATGATAATTGAAATAAAATAAGTTATAGAGAGAAGGTTGGAAAAGAGGAAGAGGAGAGAGTGAAAAAAAGATAAGGGAGAGAGGGGGGAGCTGAAAGAGAAGAAGGATGAGAGAGAGTGTAGGAGAGATGGGGGGAGGGAGGGAGGGATAAAAGGATGCACAGAGGAGGGTGCCAGAGTAAAGGAGCATTTTCTACTGAACTTTAATGGGAGGAGCTTCTGAATCTGGGAGCTTACAGTGTGTGTGTGTGTGTGTGTGTGTGTGTGTGTGTGTGTGTGTGTGTGTGTGTGTGACAGTGGTGCAATTTAGATCCTTTAAAACTAGCAATACCACAATAATACCATAACATGTTACAAGTGAAACATCACATTTCACATTTTACTCAAGTACAAGTAAATAGACATTCATATAAAATGTAATTAAAATATCAAAGTAAAAATACTCATTATGCAGGTAAAATGATGATTGTTATATTAGAATTGATTATTATTGCTGATGCAAGCTATTTAATGCTGTAGAGCTGATTAATCATTTAGTTGATATAACTATTTTGTTAATTGCTTAATTGCTTAAAGTAACATATATGTAACATTTCCCATTCGAATATTTAAGAACAACTAGACTATGTTATATATGTTGTTGAGTTGTGTACTTACACTATTCCAAATGTTTACATTCGTATGTCAATGGCCCTTTCTTTTAAACCCTCTAGTTGCTATAACTTCTGAGGAAACTTGGTATCAGAGAGTGAGGAAGGAAGTCACAGAACGTGACTTAACATAACGTAAATAAATCTTTAATATGCTACTTTACCTCGTCCGTGGGCATGATTTCTGCCTGAGTCACATCAGACAGATATTCATTGGCAATGGTGGTTATTCAACAAAGTCGACCACAACTCCCGCTATACTTCACAATGTCATCACACTACGCCTTTTTTGTTACTGAATGGAAACAAGCATCTCTGTCTCACTGTGAGCCATTCCAACGTTAGTGATTTTCATGTTGCAAACAGAACGATTATTTTCTGATACCAGTCAGTAAAAACTCTCTGACCTCTTTTGTTAAACCCTTTGGAATCCCCTGTCCGATAAACTCACAATTTATTTTCATGTCGTCCTGCCAACAGGGGCGCCAGATCAGAAAACTAATTTGGTTAATTTTGGATAATTAGTGTTAATGGCCAATGGATCAGTGTCTAATCGATCAACTGCAGTGACTTTTTAAAAAACCATCGTCTTCAAGCAGCTCCACAGGAGAAGTTCAGATCACACTAGTTGTGATGAGTGTGCGGAATGGGTAGAATCATGAACTGTGGGACCCCCAACTATGAAGAAATGTTAAACTTTCCCTGATTCCCTTGTAAGGAAGGGCTGGATTCTGCGGATGTTGTAAAGAGCAGTTCTGCCGGATTGGTCAGAATCAGGTTGGTTGTCTGGTACTACGCAAAGGTTCCTCACGGTTGGTGAAGGAGACACTGTCCTCAACACTGACCAGTAAGTCCATGTGAGGGCAGTCTTTCCCCAGCATGACGACAAGTTCAGTCTTGTCAAGGTTAAGCTTTAGGTGATGCGCCAAGAGGAGGGGAAAGAGAGGAAAAGTTAAGTCTCACCCACGTAACAGCGTTAGGACAAGCCGGCAATGTGATTAGAGAGCCTAGAAATCTAGTATATGGGGAGAACAGGAGTGGTCCTAGTACTGAACCTTGGAGGACACTGGTGTCAGGAGAGCAGGTTTGGACAAAGAGACATTCCTTGTGACCTGATAAGTGCGATTCGTCTGGTAGGATGTAAACCAGCATAGCGCAGAGTCTGCGATGCCGAGTTCAGCAAGAGTGGAGAGGAGGATCTGGTGGTCCACGCTGTCGAAATCAGCAGATAGGTCAAGGAGAATGAGGAGAGATGAGAGGGACGAGGCTCTGGCAGCAGACTATCGTCTCAGTAGAGTGTGCAGTCTTGAAGCCTGACTGATGAGGGTCAAAGAGGTTGTTTTGTGAGAGATATGATGACAGTTGGTTAGAGATGGTGTTCCAGGGTTTTAGAAAGGACTGAAAGAGATACTGGTTCCGGATGTCGGCTGTGTCATGGGTAGGTTTCTTAAGGAGCGGCTTGACTTTAGCGTCTTGAAGGCGGGTGGAATAAGTGGTGAATTGAGAAGTTGATGAGGGTGGTAAGGAATGGCAGGATGTCGCTTGAGATTGCTTGGAGAAGGGAGGAGGGGATCGGGTCAAGAGGGCAGGTGGTGGCATGGTTAGACATAACTAGTCTGCAAACATCTTCAGAGGAGAGAGGGGTAGAGCAGGTAAGGCCAACAAAGGGGGGAGTTAGGGGAGGGGGTGGGGTAGTGACACAGGTCAAAGAGGAGCTGATGTTCTTAACCTTTTTAGTAGAGGGAGGGGCATACTCATTCGCAGGTTACTGACTCCCTGGTTATCAGAGGTGGCCATGGAGTACATAACTTATCCCCAAGTAGAAGAAAAGAAAACTCTGCTAGAAGTGACATTATGATTTCAAATTTAGGTCCAGAATTGTTGGAATTCCCTGAGAAAGCTGTACAGTTTCAACAAAAACATACTGGGACTGCTGGGAAGCAGCGTGGGCTGACAAAATAACATCACCTAGTCAGCCATTAGAATGATTGGCCGAAGTTGCAATTGCATTAGGGAACTATGCAAGCTACAAAAACAATGCCAGCAGAAAGTGACGATCTCACTTTATGATAGTGGTACGATTATATTATTTTCATGAACCTTAACTGAAGTAATCATCTTCATCGTCATTATGGCATGGCACACACCCTACCTCCCTGCTCCCTCCTTACAAGTCCCTGTTAAGCTACTCCATGCTTACCACTTCACCTTCACTCTCCTCGTGCTCACTCTGTCCCTCTACCCTGTCATGGTCACTGTGTCCCTCTGCTTCACTGTCACATTCCTCTTCCTCTGCCTGGCAGTGACCATAGTGTCCTTTCCTCCTTCAAGGGACTGTGGCTACACAATGTCGGATACTGAAGCTAGCAAACATATTAGGTTATTTTGGCATCCGTCTTAAATTTTTTTTTTTTTTGACGACTTGATCCATTAACAGATTTTCGCTCTGCACAGCTTTATTGGAAATGGGGTCTAAGTGATGTGATTGGGCCAGACCTGTGTCAGTGTAGAAAATGAACCAATGGGCCGCTGCCTTTCACTGCCTTATGGGCTGCTAGTTGGCCAGTACTACTAGTAGTAGTTGGTAGTAGTTTTTTTAAATAAATAAATAATTTAAATTATATCAGCTTGAAGGTGCGTCGGCCCACCAGGCAAATTCTAGATATGTCAGATTACCAGTCCAGCCCTGCACTCAAAGGAAACACTGAATATTGTGTCGGCTCACTGTAAATTGTCTATTTTTGGTAATGGGTGATGGATTGTTGTTGGCTAAGATATAACTTGTTTTCTTGACCGCAGCTGCAGCACAGCAGCGACTGACTGAACCGATGCTCCTATTAGCTGTAGGGAAAACTGGGACAAACAGAAACCAGAGATAATCCGAAGGAATAATTTTTAGCAGCAGTGTGAAGTCTTCGAATGTTTTTCTTTACATTTGGTTTCAGTCATTATGAGTTTTGCAACAGGGTTGTTTTGAAGTGCCATTGAACAATCAGCAGTTGAGCTGTGCTTGAAAATGTTTTGGGAAGTAGAGGGCTGCATCTGCTCAGTGTGCAGCGGTGCGCTCCATGTGGCAGATTTGTATTGGAGCTAAACTCTGGCAGTGAGCCCCAATGAACTGAGGACATGGGGGCTTTATCACAAGTCACAGGACTTAAACATATAAATAAAATATAAAAAATATACTTCATCATTAATTATTTGTCCCTTGATTTCTCACTTAAGACACTTTATACTGTTTTTAATCTCCTGTTTCAGTTATGTAAGATTATATCAGAATTCAAAATTCTTTTTTCAGGTGAAAAGGTTAGATACCAATTTCATATATAATTTTTCACAATTTCAGGAGACGATGCTGTAACAGTGCAAGTACAGTACAACAACTTTACTTTGAGTCAATCAGAGCAAGATTTGTTTTTTGTCCAGTCATGTGCCCAGTAGCTACTGTATCTGCACTGTAGGACATGGCCGTTTCTCATATACCCTTGAAGGACAACAAGACCACTGCTGGCACGGTTACGCACAACGAGACACTCCCCTTCCTTTTTGTTACACTTAATTTATGTGAAATATCACAATGACTGTTGGATGGATTGCCAAGAAATTTACAATTTGGTGATGCTTTTAGCTTTTCACATGGCGCCATCATCAAGTTAAAACTGTATCACTTATCAATACTTTGGTATATGACCAAATACCTGTAAAACTAATGTCCTTCCCATCAGCCTTAGCTTTACTCTGTGCTAAATTTAATGCTAATTACCAAATGTTAGCATGGTAACAAGCTAAACTAAGATGGTGACTGTGATCCTGTACCTGTGAAACCTCAGCATGTTAGCATCTTTATTAGGATTTAAATAAAAGACAACATTTCCATTGCTTAAACATATTCATTTTCTTCTTTGTCAAATCTGAATTGATGTAAGTATGAATAACAGAGTGTAAAGATATTAAAAAGTGCTATTGTTTATATCCAGACTGTGCTCTACTGTGGCAGCTTTTGGAGTTTGTGTGTTACAGAAAGTAACATAGTAAAGGATAACTGTACTCACCTTTATTTAACTTTTTTAAACCACCAAAATAAGCAATCTCAAATTTTGTCAAAAGTAGTCTTTTTTGACTACATTTGACTTTATAATAATTATTGAAAGTACATTTTTTGTCAGATGTTTTCTCTGTAAATGTCAATTAGTGTTACTGCAGATGCAGATATGATAATTGTAACTGCTGATACAATATCTCACATTTTTTCCCAGGCACAGTTTGGTACAGAATTTGATCATATGACCAACAAGGGTTAGTCTAGCTATTACTCAGTTTGTATAGGAGCTGATGATTAGAAATTATTAGCAGTTCAAGTTTGAATGTGAAACTGAACTGAAGAATGAATGTTAGGTTGTATTGAGTAGATGCAGCTTTGTGTTGGCCTACTTTGTTTTCTGCACCCAAAGCTTTGTGTTCCTGCAGTTACTTGTTTATATCTAAAACAGCAGCTCAACTGAAACACAGATGGCGACATGGAACACCTATGGGGGGGTTGGGAGGTTGGGAGGTGGGATCACAAAGGAAAGGACACGAGAGGCTAAGAGATTAAGAGATGGCAAGGGGGGCAGGGTGAATGTCTGCGTTTTATTCTGTACATCTGTAACAATTTCATTGATGTATATTGTACGATAAAAGACACAAACCCCCAACCCCACTGATCGTACTGTAGACAGATGGGATTTTTTCTTATGATTAAAAAGAGAACGCTAAATGTCCTATGTTACCCTGTGACTTGCAGGGAGAAAAATTATCATATTGAATCATCCCCGGTCATGTGGCTGTCATAAGAAGTACAAATCCAGAAACAAGGACAGAATGCCCCAATAAGCATCAGTCTGACTGCCCACTTTCACCCTCTTAGGCTAGAATACACTCATTATACTGCTTACACTCCAGCTGCACTGGACTCGTCGTTTGTTTTTTTTTCTGCTACAGCACATCACTGAATCTCCACAATCCCTGCCACTGCTAAAAGCCAATTTGGCACAAGAGATATCAGTGTGAATAGAGAATAATCTGTGGACATGAGCTTGTTTTTGTGTGGCGTGTATTCAGTTCATCAGAGTTTTCAATTAAAAGTTTCAGTTCTGTAGAGATGATATGACGTGTTAATCTTATTTCCCAGTGTTGCGGAGCTCCGGCCTTCATGAATATTGATGACCCAGAATGTCTTTTGACTTGTGCACTGAATTAAACCAACCAAATACTCTCAAAGAAACTGATTTAATTACAGCTTGAAGCATTTATACCATCCAAGTCCAAGCAATTCTATAAACTTCCCACTTGGATCCAGTCACAGAGCACTTGAGACTGGACTCAAGCTTGAGGTTTGATGACTGCTCCAAAAAGACCCCCGGTGAACTTTAATCTTTCATCCACATCTAAGTCTTTCATTAAATTTTTGAACGGTCAACAAAGCTTTGGGGCGACTTAAAAGCTTCATAACACCATTTGTGCCAAACTAATTTAGTTCCTCTGGTGCTCCGCAGGAAACGGTTACATCGAAGGGAAGGAGCTGGAGAACTTCTTCAAAGAACTGGAGACCGCGAGACGAGGAGCAGGCGTGGTGAGCGTGTGCTTACTGAAGCACATTTCTGAATACTTAACATAGTTTCATGTGACTCGTGTAGCTGACACATTGAAATATGAGTTAATTCTCTACCATCAAAATGAATGCATATTAATAAAGTAATTCCTGTTTCTTCAGTCCATCATTTCACAAAATAAAATGACGATATATAAATCACAATTGCTAAGGCAACCCTCTCTCCTAGAAATGACATCAAGATTTTTGTCCTAAATATATGTCTCTCTGATCTGTGATTTGATGTGTTTGCAGGATCCTTCACATGCTATATTCAAAGAGAAGATGAAGGAATTTATGGACAACTTTGATAAGAACTCTGATGGGAAAATTGAGATGTCAGAGGTGAGAACTAATCAAAAGACACACTACTGGACAGTAGCCTATATCCACAACATCCCTGGTTCAACTCCTGTTGTTGTTGCATGTCATCCCCCCCTTTTCTCCCCTTATGTTACCTGTCAGTATCTTTACTGTCAATCTGTCCAATAAAACAGAAAATGCTACAAATATCATCTCAAAAAACATAGCTACTGCTTAAATAAAGCCTACATTTTAAATGTTTCTTGTATTTGTAAATATAAACATTGAAGCATTAAGATAAAATATAGGTCTCTGGAATAATAATCATTGTGTCTCTTTATCTTCCACTCTGTAGTTGGCTCAGCTTCTGCCCACAGAGGAAAACTTCCTGCTCTGTTTCAGAGAATTTGTGGGATCCAGCGCCGAGTTTATGGCTGTAAGTTTGTGTATATCTGTGTACCTTAAGTCTCACACTCATCAAACCTGATTCAATTAGAGAGAAAACAGTGAGGCATCAAATATCTTGTCCTCTGTGAGTGAAAATAAGCCTCACATACACACACTTGGTTTGCTCTGGCTTGGGCTGGGGAGGGTTTCCAGCGGTGTTGTGATGTTCAGGCTGCTCTTGTGTGTTAAAGCTATTCTCAGACAGCCATACATTATGAATGGAGAACAGTTTCTGCAGGGGAAAGGCAGTGAGTGCTGGAGGGGTTTAGGTATCCATCTTTGATAAGGGCTTCAACAAATTCTATATTTACACGATGTCAGATTTAAGTGTCACATCTTTGGGGCAGCTGAGTCCACTAATTAGATGGTCAGTGGTTCGATCCCCCAATCAGCATGTCGAAGTGTTGTTTGGACAGAATACTGAACCCCAACTTGCTCCTGTGAGATGTGTCATGTGTGAGCGATTAGTTCCTTTTTTCGTCTTTATTGTAGTCTTTTTCTTTTTAATTAGATAATATATAGAGAAGGTCTGCCAGTCATAAGATTGAGCGTCATAAAGAAGTAACACACATGTTCACTGAGAGCTACTGTAACAACTTCTCTCTTCTCCTACAGGCCTGGCGGAGGTATGACTCTGACCGGAGCGGATACATTGAGTCGAATGAGCTGAAGGTAAAACGCAATGTGCCAAAACTGGACAAAAGCTAATTCATGCAGTGTCGAATTATTTACAGTACATGCTAAAGACACAGCTACAAAAACATGCACACTCTCTGTTCTGCATCCGACCTATGAAATAATTAAAAAAATACCCTCACACATGATAATTATAGTCAGTAATGTGTATAACTGTAAATACTGTAAACAAACTAGACCTTGGTTGAGATGGTGATTAGCTTCTGTGTAAGGCTAGTGGTATAATTGGTGCTCTCTACTGAGGGAGCTACTGTGAGCCTGCACACATGAGTTATGCTCTCCATTGAATATTCTCACTGTCATGTGAAAAACAATTAGCCCACTGTAGCATATCTGAAAACAAACACGTTCACATCCTGAGCTCTGTGCATAGACCCTATTCATTTTCACCATAACTGCTAACCACTGATCATAAATGCACTGTGACCTCTAGTCACTGACTGTGGGAGTGGCTAACTGTCTCTTCAGGGTTTCCTGTCAGACCTGCTGAAGAAGGCCAACAGAAACTACAATGAAAAGAAGCTCAATGAGTACACAGAGACAATTGTGAGTATCATTGCGTGTAGAATATGTTTTTCCATCCAGCATTTCACATCACATAAGCTGAACCACAGAAGCATCAGTTAAAAAAGTTGTCAGTAACATGAATTAATTAACACGAAAACAGAACATTTCTGTCTGTTTTTGTTTGACATAAGCAGGAGTACATCACATCTACACTCAGTCCCTTCATGCCCATATGTCCAAAATGTAGCACTTGGCTGCTACATTTCTACCTAATGTAGCTGAAATAATAATCCCTAAAGGCTTAAATTTTAATGTACTCAGCAACATCAATGTCTGCGTTCACCCTCCAGCTCACCTGTAGTGCTGATACATCACTTTTCTGGCCATCAGTCATCTGTGGTCTGAACACACTCTGCTGCCATTTAAGTTTTCTTGAATGTATGTGTTTCACATGTAAAATGTGTGTGTGGGGCTGCACATGAAGACCTTCAGTTTGCTGTGCCTTCTCTGATAATTTCTCTGCTGATCTTCTCTCTGTGCAGCTGAGGATGTTTGATCTGAACGGTGATGGTAAGCTGGGCCTCTCTGAGATGGCGAGGTGAGTGTGTCTCCAGTACTGTTTGTCTGTTTTCTGTATGTACATGTCTAAACATCTCTTAAAGAGTGCTAACAAGGTGAAACCTCCACTGTAGGCTCTTGCCGGTCCAGGAAAATTTCCTGCTGAAGTTTGAGGTAAGATTACACTCAAATTGATTTTAGGCATAAAATCACATCAACTACTGTATAGCTACTTAAGACTGAAGTCCTGTAACACTGTAGAGAAGTAGTACAATTCCACATTATTGGATTCACTACAGGAAGATTACTTGCCATTAAAGTACTGAAAGGACATATGGGCCATTGACGAAAATGTGCATTTACTTAGGTTAAGTCCTACAGGAATTAAATATTACTGTATAATATTTCTGTCAACATGATAGCCTCCTGTTTTCTGTTTATGAACAGCTTTTATGTTCAATTAAATTGTTAATTGAAGTTTAATAATTAATTCCTGTGTTTTTTTAATCTAGTTCTTTCATTTGCATCTTAAAATATTATTGCACAGATTCATGTATATTCTTGGCTATAAGACAGAATTTAGGGAATACTTAGCCACTATGTTTACCATTTGGATGCGTCAAAGTTCAACATTTGTGACACAGTGACAATACGGATCTACATATACTGTATATGTATTTTGTCACGTATGTTCCCATACGTACATTCTAGCTGGCTAGAGCAGATCAACAATTCCTTTCTGACAGAGGATTAGTCGGATCAGGATTAACTCAACTCTAGTCCCAGTTATCATAATCTGCATGGATTAATATCAGTTCTGGGTCTGGTGGGGCTTTTACCGCTCTCTAGAAATATCCTGCTGTTTCTAACAAATTTCACCTCTCTCTCTCTCTCTCTCCTTCTTACTCACAGGGCATCAGGCTTAAAGTTAAAGAGTTTGACTCCCTCTTCACCTTCTATGATAAGGTAAACAGAGCATGTTTGTCTGTGTGTTTGCTTACATATATACTATATCCGTTTTAAGGTGACCAGATTTTTTAAATGAAAACCAGGGACTTTTGGTTTGGTGGTCAGTATGTCATTAAAAAATATAATGGTATTATATACGGGAACGATTTCAGTTTTATAATCTGTGAAATATAATCTCTTCTGAATGAAATCAAGTCATTTTGAGGCGGAAACTACCTTTCAGCCAGTAGAGGCTGCAATCACTTTCTGGCAAGTAGAATATTGTATTTTATGTGTGCGATTTTAAGAGAAGTGAGTTATAATCTGTCACATATAACCCTCATGAATATAATCAAGTCATTTCAGAATAACTTGCAGTAATAACTTTTCAGTCAACAGAGGCTGCAATACTCACTACAGGAGTTTTATTGGCCATTTAAAGGTATTTTAACAGGTAAAAAGACTGGATTAGTTGGTACACAGCAAGTTAAATGATGTAGAGTCATAAGGATAATTGTAAAAGAGATCATGTCTTTAATTTATATATAACTCAGCAGTAAGTCATGTTAATTATTGGCTACATTGTGTTTTCCAAATATAAACAAGGATATTAGACATAGGCCAACCAAACACATATTCCCTTGGCAACAACAGGCTTCTATTATTGCCTATAATCATGCCTGATTACGCTGATAACTTAACACTTAATGGCCACAACTGTGATTATTCCGTTAAAATAAACTTTAAAGTATCACAAAGACACACCTTTGCTGTTACCACGGATATAAAGTGATGTTTATTTGCACGTTATGTCTGTTTGATCAAACACACGATGTCAGTTGGTCAGTCGGCCACACTTTATCCAACAACTATTTGACAGATTGTTATGAAATTTTGTAACGTTACAGACATTCATGGTGCGCAGAAGATAAATCCTACTAACTTTGGTGATCACTTGCCTTTTCCTCTGGCACCACCATGAGTTTGACATTTCTGTTTTTTTAGTGAAATGCCTCAACAACTAGCCTAAAGATGGCCACACATTCATGCCTCCCTCATGATAAATTTTAGTAACTTTTGTGATCCTCTGATTTTTCTTTCTAGCGCCATCATCGGGTCAACATTTGCATTTATCCAGTACTTTATGACGTGCAAAACCTGCTAGTGAGATTTCCATCAGCCTCAGCTGTGCTCTATGTTTTTTGTAACTAGCAAATGTTAGCATGCTAACACGCTAAACTGGTAAATGTCGGAATCATTATACCTGGTAAACATGCTGCATGTTCACTGCTTGCATGGCTGTACACTCTGGTCTTGTTTTTACATAAATACTTCTTCTGTATAACTCAGACCTCTCCTGTTGTTCTCTTTCACCAGGATGGTAGTGGGTATATTGATGAGCAGGAGCTGGATGCTTTGCTGAAGGACCTCTGTGACAAGAACAAAATGGTAATGAATAGTTAGCCTATTGATTGATCAGTTCAGATTACTTTTCTACTTGCCAAATATAGAGCTGAGATGGAATAGCTGCCAGAGATGCCTCTGTAGTGTACTGCACCATCTGTAGACCACCTTGTGCCCACTGACCGTGTGTGACTGTGTCGTTTCTGGCAGGACGTGGACTCAACAGGACTGGTGGGGTACAAGAAGAGCATCATGGCTCTGTCTGACGGAGGGAAACTGTACCGCACTGAGCTGGAGATCGTCCTCTGCGAGGACTCCACGCTGTGACCTCCCTGCCTGGGACCCTGCTGGCCTCCCCCACCGCCTGCTCCTTCCTACCCCCTGATGTAACCTGGTGCATGTGTGACCCTTAACCTCGCTACACCACTTAAAGTGAAAACAAATGTTCTCCTGAGAGCACAAAGTGTACCGCTGGCCCTGCTGTTTTAGCTTTGAACCCCACTGAGGTCATTTCTTTTTTTAACTTTACATGCAGTTCTATAGTTAAATAGCAATGACTACAGCAATATTTTGTGTATTTATTTATTTGACTTCCCATTTTTAATATGCATTTGTCTTTTTAACCTAAAATTAATACTTGTGTTGTTTAGAATCTTCATTTATTATATTTATTTCTGTTAGATTTTAACCCTGTTTTATTTGACAAGGCTTGTACTGTTCTATTAAAAATATTACTGAGAGAATTAATAAATATACTATGACAACGCTTGTCCCAGTTATTCACATGCATTAAAAAGTCCTAACTTCATCTAAATGATGTTCTGTTGCACCTCACCTATCAGGGGGATTGTTTCAATTGTGCCACTGCCTCTGCTGTGAGAGGTTTGTTTAGTCTTTTCTCTCAGCGCAGCGTAAAAGAAAATTATTTCCCCCCTCTCTGACAGTTGCGTGGTTCCAGTGAAGATTACCATAGAGATGCCCAGAGCAAGAGTGTTTTCTCCAGAGTACTCCACCTTCACTTTCTAATCTCCTGGTAACATAAGTGTGATGTCGAAAAAGCTTGTGCTGCTCCATTTTTCATAGGAGTCTCCTCGAAACCTCTGTGGCTCCTTGAGACATGAGCAGAGTGGAACAAGCTGAGAGATCAGGGACACATATAACAGCATGATTGCTTCACTCTCTATGTATTCAAATCAAGAAAATACAACATGACAACAAAAAATTTGCACTTTTAAATAATTGAAATATTGCTCATTCTTGTCCAAATGTGAGCATCCACACCAAACAACACATTATTATTATCCAATAGGCCTATTGTGCTGATTATATTTACCGCTATAATATCTGAAATACATCTTTATTATATAACGAATAATTAACATTCATCAGTGACTTAAACTACAAAGTGCAGTTCTCTTTAAAAGATGCTGTCCTGGTTTTCTCAAAAACCCATCACTCATTTTTAGTCAACCATTTAGTAATTTTCTTTCAGTAGGAAAAAACGTCGACAACCCCCCGTATTTCAGTCTATGGAACGGTCTACCTTCCATCAATTAATAATCAGCTGTTTCATCTTTAATTAAACTCACTATCTTTAAAGAACACACTGCAGCTACGCACTCACTCACTCATGCACAAAAACAAAAGCGTTCACGTCCTTCAGCGAATGTTTAATGTTGTACACACACGTGGGAGTACAAATACACACACACATCCACAGAAATACAGAAGGGCACACAGAAAAACTGCGGTACAGTTCAAGCCGTTAACTGCTGACAACAAGGAAAAAGAGAGTTACATCCGCTCTGATTCCTTCACACATCAATCCCAACTCAGCGAGAGGAATGAGACAAGTGAGCCAAAGACAGATGAGATTCCCTCTGTTATTTACCCTCCGTACAGCTACACACACACACACACACAAACTGTGTCAGCAGAGATAGTAGACACAGTTTAATGTACGATGTGAATATGAACGACACTGTGCAGATTGCCGTGGTGTTCCCAATCCAAGATATACTGCACTGTGTACCTTCAGTTGTTAGATTTATATTTGTAAAACATATGAGCTTACTGTAAAACATATCACAGTAGTTCCTTCGGCAGTGAAACCATTCAGAGATAACAGGTATTTCTTTTGCGCATGATGGCAAAAGATGCCATAATGCTAATTATTCTCTTTTATTCCATCATCGTCGTAGTCCTTATCTCCTATTCAGCACATCAGACTGTGTGTTTTTTTGATCCAAGTAATTTAGTCCAACATTTTACATATCATCAATGTTCATAGTGTTGTTTTTAGTCAGGGCAGTGTTTTGTAAAGATATGAATGTTGTTTTGGAGATTTCTGTTGCCCTAGAAAATCTGTGCACATTTTAGTGATATTTTTGGATCTTAGTCTAATTGTGCATGGCTTATGACAGCCACTGGGGACAGTGTTTTTGTCTTTTCTTTACCACAGAAATGTGGGATCTAGTACTCAGCACAATAACATCGCAGTACAATTCACAATCAATAATAATGAATTATTTGTGAACCTCTAGGTAAAACAGTTTTGATATAGCTTGGTGACGCTGAGGCTATTCAAACCCATGCTAGAGCACGTTTACATATTAAAACTCAAACAATGTTGTTAAATGACAGAGTGTGAATGAATGAGTGCACATGTACATACAGTGTTTCTTTTGTTTTAGGAATTGTACAGCATATCTCATTGTGCTACTGGTGCAATGACAATAAAGATTTCTGATTCTAATAAAGGCCCAGCTGTTGTGGTGGCAGCCCAGCTGACGGTGAGTGTCCTGTTTTTTCTCCTTTTTTTCTTGTGATTCTGTATTTCCTTTGTTTTGGCCTGCCTGTCTGTGTCTCCTCCTCTCCCCCTGCGTGTGCTCTCCCTCTGTCTCTGCTCCTGAGCTCAGCTGATGATCCGCACCTGCACCTCGTCAGCCTCCTCCTCTGCTTGCCACACCTGCCAGCAATCAGCCTCATCTCTGCCTGTATATCAACCCCGGTTCTCCACACAATCTCTGCTTGATCGACGTTGCTCCTAACCCGGTACCACTTTATCTCTCAAGCTCCTGCGTCATCTTTGTTTTCCCTCCAGGTTCACTCACCTCTGTTGTGTCAGCTGGGCTCGCCACCCTGCCCTCTCCCCTCGGACCTCTTCCACGGTGTCCTCTCGGGCCTCACAGTCAGCCTGCCACTACACTCTTCCACCAACCCCCAAGTCAGTCCTCCCGTGCCTCCTCTCTCCCTCGGCTCCCGTTGCCTCGTCCCAGCCTCCTTAGACCTGTCTGCTACTTGGGGGGGGGGCCCCCCAGTGTTCCCCGGCACGCCCCCGTGCCATGTTTCCCCGGCATCCACCTCTCCCTCACCTCCCCTTTTCCCCTCAATAAAACCTCTTTCACCGGAGCATTGCTTTTGGGTCCTCCGTCCACAACACCTGCACAGCCTCACAGGTGTTTTCACTTACTCTGGTTGACCTCTTAGATTGAGCTTTGGAAATATGCTGGGGGTTACATAAGGTCCCCATGGCTTTTGAAATAGTCAAAAGTAATTAAGTGTTTGGTTACAAAACAAAGTTAAAATGGGAACGAGTCTGGTTGGTGTTGTCACATTTTGATGTGTCACAGTTGGAAAAGCCAGGTGTAGCCTAAATGAATGGTGGCTGAATTTCATTTAGCTGCTTCAGTTTCAGGGTCCTGGTACTGTTCATGCTGGCTCACTGTTGTCTAACTGGGACACCTGAATAAAACGGAACCATTGTTAATGTTATCAGTAACACCTGTGCTTTGCTTTCTAGTATGTGTCAAAATGTCTCCTGTAAAAAGGCCATCCCAGGGAAGAGCTCTAATCAGCAATAAATGAAAACACCTGTGAGGGGGTGCAGGGCCGTCAAAGTCACACTATTAATTCTCAGATTGACAGACTGTCCAGTATCTGTGGTTTCAGCCCGAGAAACAATTGTATTCACTCCATGACTGTACTCTTAATTTATGAGGGCGCTCACTTAGCTTGAACTTACTAACCCCAATTTATCTGTTCCATTATTGTGAACTGATAATTCCTGGAAATGCACTACCCCCTTGGTTGGATGTTTTCTCAGTCATTAAAAACAAGCACACATACATCAAACACTGGAAAGCAGCAAGGCTAAACCAAAAAAACTGACGACCTCCTCAGGAATCCCCCGTATCACAAATATGATTGCAGTGAGGAGGATTTTTCTGATTAGTGATTACATTTTAATATGTATTGTGTTTTATTGTGACATTTTGATGTGTTTATTCTTTGTGTAATTATATGTCATTGCTTTATTTTGTCTTTTGACAGAGAGAGCTGAATGCATTGCAACTTGACATTAAGCATATGGCAGACACAAATGAAATTACAGAAAACAATCAAAATGCATTGTACTAGTTATGACATTAGGGAATATTTTTTCTCCTTTCTCATTAAAAAACATTAAAACGCAAAACCTGAAAACTAAATAAAAACAAATAATATGTAAATGAAATCCTTCAGTTGAAAATGTATGAGTCAACATGAACAGGACATGGAGCCCACACTGTGCCAAGTATTGTTACTATAAGTGATACATGAAATTGAATCTAATGGGTCACTACTACTGCTTCACATCATTTTAGCAGTCTGTTGTCACACGGCTTACTAACCCATAACCTCACAGGGAGTGGGTGGAGAAGTGACTTTAGCTTATGTTGTACTGTGTGTTTAAAAAAATAGAAAATCTCCATTAAAGAAAAGGTCAAATAAAGGGTTACTGATTTTTTTAAAATAAGTAACAGCAAAAATAAGTGTGCACATTAAAGAGTGGGTGGGTGTTAAAGAAGGCTGTTCAACCCTAAGCTAAGTTGTCAAACATCACTAAGCATTACATTCAGTAACACTTCTCTCTTATCAGTGTTTCCATTATTCTTTTTCTGCCGTTCTTTCATTTGAATGGTTCTTTCAGCTCTTTTTCTGGGGTTCTTGGACATTCACAGTACAGCTACAATGTTTGCATGTGTGCATGTGTGAATGGGAGTCCTCTCTGACATGAGGGGTTTGCTGGAAAAATCCATATCTCCTCCATACACTGGCAGTCCTACATGCAAGCCAAGCACATGTTCTGCTCTGTCACTCTGTTGGGGTGCCAGTGAGTTGTTTGTCCAGCTACAGGAAAATGTTTCATAGACTTCCAGGCACTGTTGTGTAATGTTCTTCCAGGTCACTGTTCCTTCTACACAGACTGAGAGTAAACGTGAATGACTCCGAAAGTGAAAACATGCCTGGCACCTTCACTTCTTGCAGTGGCCCCTTAACATCTGGGAAAGGCACACTTACACACAAGGCTGAGTGATTAGAGGGAGAGAAGAAGAAGATTATTTGACACCAGTTAAAGATAAGTGTTGTCAACAATTTCAGAGACTATGATGATTGCAGAGTGTTTTTTAAAGCTTGCAATCATTCCTCATCTGTTAACTAATGATGTAAAAATTGTTAGCAATGTGTCACAAGGAATAGTGAGTTCTAGTGAGCTGAGTCAAATGTAGAGAAGGTCTCCATCTGGTGGGAGGCCTGAGGTGCCATTGCTGGGGCAAACAGGAAAAGTAAATCAGTGTGATAGTTCTTAATTGTCTTATTGAAAAACAAAACACTTTTTCTGCAGTGGGTTACTACAAATTAACATCTCATTTTCCGTGTCTTGTAACGCTTTGCATAGCACAGATGCTCAGATATTTCAATCTGAACAACATGCAGGTGGGATGTCATCTAGATA